CACCGAAGTGAGTAGATCACTACTCCAGCGCTAAGTCCACTTTTAGAAGCCTATAGTGTTTCGACGCTAAGGCTAAATAAATTCGTAGAAACTTGTGAGTAGATCGTATAACGCCTTTGATGTTTTGACGTCTTTGGCTAGAAACTAATTACGTAGATTTGGGAAAAACCCTTTGATGTTCTGACGTCTTTGGGTAAAATTATTGAATAGACTTTATAAACGCCTTTGATGTTTTGACGTCTTTGGCTAGAAACTAATTACGTAGATTTGGAAAAAAACCCTTTGATGTTCTGACGTCTTTGGATAAAACTTACTGAGTAGAATCAAGACTAGAATAAGTTATTTAAAATAATCTTTTTTTTCTTTTAATAAATAAATTTTAAAATAATAAAATCAAACGGTCTTTTACTTTCCACTCATTGGTTTACCAGCTTCGAACTAGTCAATAAAACAAATTTATTGCAACGACCCGGACCGCGACTGAGTAATACCTCAGCAGAATTAAAACGACGAATCCGTGTCGTTACAGTACATTGAATCAAGCGTGGGACAAACTAGTAGAATTGAATCCAGATAAAGAATTTCTTGAATTAGCTAAAGATTACATAAGACATAATAGATTGCCAAAAATAGACGAATTAGAATATATAAAAGAACAGATAGAGAAAGTTGAAGGAATAAAAACAGGAAAATTACAGAGTACATTAGAAGAATTATCAGATGCTAAGTGTGGCTTGGAGTATAAATGCAAACAGCTAGTTCTACAGACAAAAGAATTGACTGTTTTACTTCAAGACGCAGAAAATCAGACGTTAAGCTTGGAAAAAGAACTTCGAAGAGAAGGAAAGTCAGATAAAGACATTAGCATATACCTGGAGGAGGACAGTGAATTAGAAACCAAATTAGGGAAAAGGAAGAAACAATAAAGAAACTCGTGCTACAAGTAAAACAATTACAAAAAGAATTAGAACGCTATTATAAAACGGATCAGGAAAATCCAAGGAAAAATAAAAGTGATTTCGACAAAAATAAACCAATGATCAAAACAAATAATCAAACAACGGAAGAGGAGTTGGCAAATAATAAAGGTTTAGGAACGGAACAAAACATGACGTCCATAAGTGTAATTATGGAAACAGTATCTAAAGTGGTTCCATACTTCGCTGGAACAGAAGGCCCGGAGCTAAGAGCAGAGGTACATAAATTTGTAGCTGGTTGCGAACTAGTGCAACAAGCTTTACCTCAAGCTGGAGCACAATATATTGTAAGATGTGTAAAACAACGGTTAGTGGGTTTAGCATAAGACAATATTGCTAATAGACCCTACTTTACAATAAACGATTTGTGCGAAGCTGTCAAACGAACGTATTTAAGAAGGAGGACCCTTGAGCACATCAGAGAAGATTTAACACTCAACAAGCAAAGACAGAATGAATCTGCTACCGCTTATGGGGGGCGCCTACAGGCTCTACTCCACGAAGCGGAGACACAAATAAAAAATCAAAGGGGTGAAGTGGAAATCCTGTCGCAATTAAGAGAGTACAAACAGTTAGCAGTCAGGTGTTTCACAAAGGGACTTAGAGACAGTAATTTAAACACCGATTTATTGGATTGGAGAATGACACAATAACTAAACTTGTGGCCATAGCAGAATCAGCGGAAGAGCTTTTAGGGGAACATCGTTCTAATATTAACATGTCGTTAGCAGAAACAAAGTGTGTTTTTTGTAACAAATTAGGACACGGATGGGTAAATTGCCAAGACAGACAAAACACACCGTACTGCTCAAATTGTGGTAAATATGGTCATGAGAATGGCCCAAAATGTAGAATTGGTACAATTAATGAGATAACTACGAAACAAATAACATGTGATTTCTGTAAAAAAATAGGGCATGACTCTTCAAAATGTTTTAAGAAATTGAATACGTTGTTTTGTAATATTTGTAAAGTAAAGGGGCATGAACAAAATAGGTTTTCTAAATTTGTAAATTCAGACAATAGAAATCAACGTCAAATAACAAATAATTATAGTCGTTGGACAAGTAACCAAAATTATTCACAACACAGAAATAAACCACAGAATAACCAAGTGAGCAGTAGCTCTGGAGGAGAGAAAATTAAATGTTTCAGATGTGGAATAGAAGGGCATATGGCAAAGGTTTGCCGAGTAACACTATCTACTCAGCAGGGAAACTCCAACCGGCCCAGTCTAAGACGCTAGACTGGAATGCCGACAAACAAAGAAGGATAAATATAACACAAAAATGGGAACCAGCATCAAAAATAAAAGATAAAGTCCAAAGGAATGTATTAGAAAAAAAGAAAGAATATAAATTAAACATAATGGAAGCAAAAGAATCTCATAACTTGAAAGTAAATAGCATAAAGTTAACAAATATGGCAGATTATACATTTAAGAAATTTAAAGAACAATTATCAAATGATTGTAAGAAATATTTGGTAATTATTGTAATACATGTACTGATTATATGCATGTTAATAATGTCAGTTTTTTCATCACTGTGGGAGCAGTTGAAAATCAATAAAAATTGGATGTCTCAGAATTTTCGAATACCACGGGTTACGGGAATGAATTACAATACCATGGACGGTATTAGTCAATCGTTCGATGATGCCTATATAGAAGTACCTTGTAAACAGGCAGTGGGCAATAAATTGTTATTTCTAGTGGATTCCGGAGCTGACACAAGTTTGATAAAGTCCGAAGCGCTATTAAATAAAGCAGAAATAAATAAACGCAATATAAAGGGACTGATAGGAGCCTTTGGTGGTAACATAAGTACATTGGGTACAGTAAAAATAGAGCATGGGGAATTTACTGAGTTAAAATTCAACATGCATGTAGTTCCATTGGGAAGCAAGATACCAGCAGATGGATTACTGGGAAGAGATGAACTATGGAATCGTTCAACAATGGATACAATTGGAAAAGTTCTAAAATTACATGATAATAAGAAAGAAGTGGCAGTTTTACCTCTGATAGACATTGCAGATCACGGTCGGATTTGTATAACTGAGTGTATCACGATCCCACCTAGATTTACAATGGTAGTGCCAATAAAAACAGCACCTAAAAGGGGAACAGTAATTGTTCATAAAAAAAAAATTTTGCCAAAAGTTTACTCAGGAGAATGCCTTACTAAAGTAATAAATGGTATAGGCTACGTAAAAATTTTAAATGCAAATAATTATTCTGTTAAAATTGATGCAGAAATTGAGTTAGAGGGTAGTGATATGTCTAATTTTGATGAATACAGGCTACCAAATGTCAATTTAAATAAGGAAATTAATATGGAGGAACGTTATGAGTTGCTATTAGAAACAGTAAATTTGGACAAGAATTTAAATGCAGAGGAAAGAAGTCTGATAACAAAAACTATTAAAGAATATAATGATGTGTTTCATTTACCAGGAGATAGACTTACATACACTTCTGTGTTAAAACATGACATTCTAACAGAACTAGGTCAGATACCAATAAATCAACGCCAATATAGATTACCAGAAACACATAAAGAAGAGATAAACAAACAAGTAAATAAAATGCTGGAGGAAGGAATTATAACTAAAAGCAAGTCATCATGGAATTCACCAATAATTTTAGTACCTAAAAAACTTGGTACGGATGGGAAAAAGAAATGGCGTCTAGTGGTAGATTTCAGAAAAATAAATGAAAAAACCATCGAACAAGTTTTTCCAATTCCGAGAATAGATGAAATTTTAGATCAGTTAGGTTGTAGTAGATATTTTACGACTTTGGATTTAGCTAGTGGCTATCACCAAGTGATAGTTGAACACAAAGACAGAGAAAAAACAGCATTTAGTACGGGACTTGGACATTTTGAATTTCGACGTATGCCGTTTGGATTGACAGGAGCACCCGCAACATTCCAGCGCATAATGAATAGCATTCTGACAGGACTACAGGGAATTGATTGCTTTGTATATCTTGACGATATTGTAATATACGGCAGTAATTTAGAAGAACATGACAAACGATTTAGGAATGTATTACAAGCTCTTCGGGAAAACAATTTAAAGCTACAAACTGAGAAATGTCAACTATTAAGGAGAGAATTCGTATATTTAGGACATAAAAGTTCAGACAAAGGAGTGATACCAGACCCGGAGAAAACAAAATGTGTTACAGCCATCCCAGTACCTAGAAATGTAAAAGACCTGCAATCATTTTTAGGTCTAATAAACTACTATAGAAAATTTATTCCACAAGCTGCTCAAGTGTCTTTACCATTGAACAAATTACTGAGGAAAGGGGAAAAGTTCGAATGGAATGAGAAATGTCACAAAGCAATGGACCAGTTGAAAATAGCAGTAACTAGTCCACCAATTTTACAATATCCAGATTTTTCAAAAGAATTTTTATTAACAACGGATGCTAGTAAGGAAGCATTAGGGGCAGTACTATCCCAAGCAGAAGTTGGATCAGACTTACCTATTTACTTCGCAAGCCGTGCTCTCAGCAGTACTGAAAAAAGATACTCAACTATAGAGAAGGAATTACTTGCTATAGTATGGGCAACAAGAAATTTTAGATCACGTTTGCTGGGAAGACATTTTAAAATATATACGGACCATAAGCCATTACGTGGAATTGCTAATCTAAAAGATCAAGACACGCGACTGGGAAGATTTCGTTTGAAGCTACTAGAATATGATTTCGAGATTTTTTATAAACCGGGAAAGACTAACAAAAATGGGGATGCTTTGAGTAGACTTCCAATAGCGGTTATAACAAGGGGTAAAGCAAAAGAGGCGGAACTTGCAAAAAACTCAAATACAATTTCAATAAAAAACCAAGAGGAAATAGAGAATTCAATAGCACATACACACGAAGATTTTGCAGTATACTTAAAAAGTAAAAAAGACATTCAAGAAGTTTTGAAAAAATTTTATGATTCACCAATAGGAGGTCATAAAGGGGTAACTAAAACTTATTTCCGAATAAGAAAGCAGTTCAAGTGGGCAGGCATGCAAAAACAAATAAAAGAATACATAACAGCTTGTCATAAATGCTCACAAAAGCTCAAAAGTGGAGAGATTACCACTGATTCTAACTGACACGCCCCAAAGACCGTTTGATAAAGTATTCATGGATATAGTAGGTCCATTACCGACTACGGAAAGTGGGAATAAACTCATCTTGACTTTTCAAGATGATTTCTCAAAATATCTAATATGTACTGCGTTACCAGATGCAGAAGCCTCAACAGTGGCGAGAAAGTTTTTTCATGAAATTATCGCAACGTTTAATATTCCTAAAGTTTTAATTACGGATAATGGAACGAATTTTACATCAAAGCTTTTCAAAGAAACATGTAAAATTCTGGGTATTAAAAAACTTCAAACTACACCCTATCATCCATAGGCAAACGGAGCTCTTGAACGCAGTCATAGACCTTTAGCAGAGTTCCTGAGGAATTTTGTGAAAGAAGATGGGTCAAATTGGGATGAATGGTTACATCATGCAATGCATGTACATAATAATACAATGCATACAAGCACTAAGCAAACACCTACTAAAACGCTATTTGGTTTTGTATTCGTGATACCAATAAGTTTAAAGCGAAAGCCAACTCCAGTTTATAATTATGACGATTATTCCAAATTGTTAAAATATCAAATACAACGGTCATATGAATTAGTAAGAAAGAACCATAAAATAGCTAAAGAAAAAGCAAAAGAGTACTATGATAAAGGAACTAAAAATAGAATGTTCAAAATAGGGGAAAAAGTGTGGTTGAAAAACCCAAATAGAAAAAATAAATTTTCACCTATATGGGAAGGTCCTTTTCAAGTTACAGAAATACCTACTCCCGTAAACACGAAAATAATTATAAAGGGTAGAGAAAAGATTTTTCACAATAATCTTTTAAAACTACATA